TGGTTTTTTTTTATCAATTTGTGATGTCCTAAATACATAAGAATTTTTATGCATCTGCTTGCTTTTATTCAGCACTCCCCCGCCTTCAGTTGCTTGTTGTGCGTATTTGTGCATACAGTGAAAATGGGTACTTGAAAAGTAAATAAATAGATAATGCAGGCAAGTAAGAAACTAAATGGTCTAGGTAATTAGGTATGTCTTACAGCCTTTGTCAATTTATCTATGTTGATGATGTCCATGACTGACAGCTATTCCAGCTCTCTGGTTATACATCATTCTGCTGTGTAGTTACCGCTCATGGCTGTTCCAGGACACCTGAGCATCAGATGTTTCTGTGGTCAACGTCAAAATAAAACCACGGTGAGTCCCAGTTACAGGCAAGAGAGCATACAAACTCCTAAGCGCCCTCCCAGTGCAAATCTTTACAATCCCGTCATTTTACTAATATATCCTCCTCTAGACCAATTTCCTTCTTGAACATCACCCTTTCCTGTTGGGAATTGGCATACAGGACGTGGACATGTACTTGTGGAACAATTGTTCCATTTGAGCTTGCTTTAAGCAACCCGGGGTAGGCCTTAGAAATCTCAGGGCCTGCTGTAGCTGAGCAAACCAAGCTGCCAGAGTAACTGTGAGAAGCTCCCATGGTAATGACTCCCACATCGCCCAATTAAGGAACTCAGAAAATACTGTTACCAGCAGCTGGCCTCAAGGACTATGTCTACGTGACCGCTAATCGCAAAGGGGGTTGTTTTCCTGACTGCTAATCAAAAGGGGGGTTCTTTTCTTGCAGGTGGGGTTGTTTTCTTATAGTTGTTTGTCTGAGTGCTCTTGACCAATAATCTTGTGTGAAACACTCTCTGCCCCTGTAAAGTTCACTATAAAAGTTAGGCTATTCAGGGCAATAAAAGGGAGCAGCATGATCTGACTCAACTGGTGTCTGTCGTGGTTTCGGCCGTGCTTCGCAACACTTTCCCACAGAGCATGTGCAGGTTGCAGTGTGCTCTTTGCTGCAAATGCATTCGCTCAGCAGTGGGTGTGTTTCCACAGTGACTATATACAAAATCTCAAAATGTAAAGTATATGTTTTCTGTTTCTGAAGACATTTTATGGGAGGACAGTCATTCTCCTTAAAAATGGTCTAGGATGGTTCAGCTCCTGATAAAGTTGACCATCATGCATGCCAGTGCTATGGCATAGGCAGCTGATAGATGAGCATCATCTGCACTGTCGTTTGCCCCTTGCAAATGATCTGCAGTGTGTTGTTTGCTGCTGTGAAAGGAGTTTGATCACATCTGTGCACTAATATATCAAGGGAATTTGCTCTCAGACTTGAGGTAATTTTGTAGCCTGGGAGACATATCCAGTCGGTGTCTGGATATATTCAAAACAAAGCAGAATTTTTTTGAAATATTTGAAAAATATTTTTTGAAATAATTCAATACTCCAATTTTCTCTGCTGCTGCAGGCTGGGTAGGAACTGGCAAAGGGCTCCTCATAGCAGCAATAATAGTGAAGGGCAGTGGGGAAGGGAAATGTGGTGGCTGCCTACCCAGAGAAGGGCAAGTCTGTGTTAATGCAGCATGTTGGTCTTGGTGGCTCTCTTATGGTTTGCATGGGCTCAGATGTGCTTGCCTGAAATGTGTATTGGGGACATTCATTGTCCTCAGATTTACTGTTCCTTGACTCTTGTTAGGAAAAAAAAACAAGTCCCATGAATAAGTTATTGCAAAACCAGGTTGACCCATTCAAGCATGCAGATGTTTTATTTAAATATTCCTCAAATGTCTATTTATTCAGCATAATGCATGTATTATGCTGCCTTCTGAAATACGATATATGACTTAAACAAAATTGTCAAAAACAACAACCTCGGTCTCTTTGTATGATACACAGAAATAATTACATTTCATGTACAGTACAGATGCATTTTACACAGTCATCAACAGTCATTCACTACCAAAACAGTATTTAAATCACCTAAAACACCAAAAGAATGTGTATTTCCCAAATTCAGAATAAATTAATGATTTTGCATGTGACATATGGAAATATAAGACAAGACTGCAAAATCATACTAACTTATTCCTTAAACTGTAATTTAAGAATGAAAGTACAGATTGGTTCAGGGGTATAACTGTTATGCAAGTGTATTGCTATAGTGTGATTTTTATTTTTATTTTTATTTTTAATTCATGCGAAAAGGAGAATAAAGAGTTTTTAAGAGACATGACTTGATGGAGTCAGTAGGCTTCCTGGGTTGTATGTAATCTGTCTCAAGCTGGGTTCACTAACTGCCTTTTTACATTATTTACCTGATGTAACTGGTCAAGAAGTTCCATATGGCATTAAGCTATTGTTGCAGATTGATAGTATCAATGCAGATTTATATCAAGAACTGTTTTAGCAAAAGGTTGAGACCAAGCCAGTTTTTTATGAGTGGCCATGGGTAGAAGGAGTATGTAAATAAAAACTCTAGGACCATTGTGTTTCTTTTTAACCCCATTAAAACTTAGGTAACTCACCAGCTTCAGAAGATCTACTGCAATTTTCTAACAGGCTAGAAGAAAGGAGAGCAATGCAATGTAATTGACTTCAGAAATACTCAGAGTTAGTGTTTTGTCAGAGGACAATCTATGCTTCTGCTATCTATTTTGATCTAAAAGAAATTTAGAAGCTCAGTTTATGGTAAGTTATTCTGATTTGCACAAAAAGTGGGAAGTTCACTGCAAATTTGCTAAGCTTCTGAATAACTAAACAAGAAAAAAAAAAGTATTTCATTACATTATATACTCCTTTTAATTGCAATTTAAGTCTAGTATGTGACATTGTTATATTTTGGTGTATATGCTGTAGCATGATAGTCCATCATCTACTCTTCAATCTCTGTTGACATGTACAGAGAAATAATAGTATCTGTGTGCAGTAAAACGTGGTGTATCATCAGCAAGTTTCAGTTTTCAGTGGGTGTTTTCTCCTAATGTAAATTTTAAGGTCAGTAGAATGCTAACAAATACTATTCTGAAATATACACTACTCAAACTATTAAGTAACTGTTAATCATTTATTGTAATGGCCTCTAATGCACCGAGCCTTTGATTTATATGCATATTTTATTTTGCAGCCATGCAATCATTTCTGATCCAGTGTTCTCAATGTATATATGTATGTATTGATATGCATATATTCCATGTATATTTGATGTATATGATGTATGGTAGTTCATGTATATAGGAAGCATTATGATACATCTTCTAACACACTCTTATGGAGAAAAATGTCACTTTTTTATCAGAAAGGTTCCTGCTAACATCAATGCATCAATTCATTTTAAAAATTAAGCCAGAAAAACTTAACTAGCAGAGCCTTCGCAGTGCCTTCTAGGCCTGCCCGCGTAGGCAAATTCCAATTGATACCAATTGCATTTTTGTAGCTTCGGGACCCAATCCATTGTTCTGTCAGTATTCTTAGGTAATTAAATATCTTGACACAACATAAATTCTCAAATTTTAGGATGCAAGTTTACAGATCATTACAAAAATAATTTAGTCATCATTTTTACTGAACACCTTTCAGTGTCTTCTGCCTTACTCTGGACGCTGTAGAATGTCAGTGGGAAAGGATTTGGAGATAAGTGTCAGTGGATCCTCAAAACACCTTTGTTGTAAATTCATTTCAAATAGTATTGAGCCTGTAACAGTACATTGGAACAAGAGGTTTGTTCTGAAAATATAGAAGTAGACAAGATTTCTATGGAACAAATGACTATGCCGATTCATCAGTAGCCTTAAAATCCCAAACAGTACGGTAATATTGGAGCAGACAATGAACTGTCATAGAAACAGAGGACAGTGGACAAAACAGTGATTGAGTAGCACATTTGTGATGCACAGTTTGGCTGTAAGATTATTTAAATGTTTGCAATCTGCAGTTTATAGTGCAGATGAAGTTGTGTAAAATACCTTAAAGAAAAATAAATCCTGATTCCTGATACAACAGGTGTACAATGACTTATTGCAGTTGTAACAGTACCTAGGAAGCAAGATAAAACCATAGTAAATATTGAACTAACTGAACACCTTTAGTTCACTAATGAGTGTTTAAATAAGAAATACTGTGTTTTTCAAAGGGAAGTTATTTGTACAACTACCATGGAACATTAACAATCAGCTTGTTGTAAGTGCACAGAAATGCCCCTTTCTACAGTAATATTTTATCATGCCTAATCTGAAAAACAACAAAAGTAAACTGAGATCACAGCTCCAAATAATTTCAGCATGCATTATGGTTGAATTTATTTCAGTCAGTACAAACATATTTCATATGAGCATTTTTTTTCTTTTTTTTTTTTCTTCATAGTTTCTCAACAAGTTTGTGGTTTATTAACAAGAGAAAAAAAAGACAAGTTATCAAAATGTTTCTCATTTTGCATTCAGCAGGAACACAGGTTTGTTTCTATTTTTTTTGTTTTGTGTTTTTTTTTTTCTTTTTTCTTTTTTTTTTTTTTTCTAAAAAGAGCTCTCATGATAAGAAGAAGCATCAATGGGGACATTTCATTGTGCTCATATAGTAAGTCAGGATGGTCACAGAAGCTTCCACCATGTGTCATTTTCAACAGTGTGTAGAAACTCCACTTGGTTTACACGCTACGACACTGAGACCCACAAAGTGCTGTGGTTCTCCTGAACCTCTCGATCCGTCGCTGCTGGCACACACATCAAGAGGTGTTGTCTTTGTCAGCTCTCTCATTCCTCGGGACTTGTTTCCCACTGCTCCAGCTCAGCTTGCAAGTGGTCTTTATTCTAATTTATAAATAATTCCTTGTTTTACAAAGCAGATACTCTGACAATGTTTCCTCCCGAATATTCGGGAGACTCTGGCCTATCGTCTCCTTCAGGTGTGGTGACTGGAGGTGTTGGGATGCTAATTATTGCTGTAGTGACGTAAGGCTGCTCACAGTTTAGTTTAACACACTCTTCCACTTTGGCATTTAAGCTGGATCGGCTGGAGGAAGAAACAAAAACCCATGAAGAAAGAAAGCCCATATTACTGCAAACCTCCTGTACACCCAATTCTACAGTCTCAGCTGGTCCTTTTCTGCATTACAGAGCTCAGAGGCTCAGAAGTGCAAAACAGCACTGCCATACCAGCATGTACGCAAGTAGCAGGTACGGACAAGGATAAGGCCCCCCTTTCTGCCTTCCTTCCCACCCAGAAGTTTCAGTACTTCTAAGACATTCTCAGTTCATCACCTAAGTGGTTTCTGATCAGAGGAAGCATTTGATGTGCTCCCTGCAGAAAAACAAACAAACAAACAAACAAACAGCATTGTCAAAGCTTGCTTTGCAGAAAAGTGGAAACTAAGGGGTAGTCCCAGCACGCTACCGATTCCTCTATGCCATATTTATCTAAGAGCATTTTGTATGTTATATACCTCAATAGTAAGACACAGTGATATACACACTAATTGAGTTAACATGTTCATGGAGTTGCTGCAGTACCTCAGCATCATAAAAGAAAGTTAAAATTCAGACTTATTTGAGGTGAAGCTGGCAATGTGAGGTTGTGTTTTCAGCTTGTTTTCTAGCACAAAGCTGATGTGTTATATTTTTATGTACTCTGTGACTGGAGGTGTGGTGCAGAGAAGTCCTCTAGCAGGGAAAAGAAGGATCCAGGCAGAACATTTCCTGAAAATCTAAGACAGATTGGAGCTTTGTGCTGGACAAGAGGTCTCATTGCACAGCAGCTGAAAAACTCCTTTAGCTACAAGCTGCTAAATTGTTCATGGAAGTGAAATTCAAACCTAATAACTATTCAAAGTAAGCTACTCAAAATGTCACTTAACAAGACAATCTTTATAACACCTAGTGCTGAGAACACTTCTTAGTTAAATGCTAGTATATTTGAGTTCAATGGAAAACACTTCTGAGTCTCCTGAGACCTTTCCTGTGTTTTCCGAGATGGTGCTCAGATATATCCAAAAGCCAAATGGTTTATTTCTAAGAGCAGATATTTTCAGCAAATTACAGACTCTTAAACTGCACTTTCCTAACTTTTGTAATAACTTGTCAAATGGCAAAATATTTTTTCTTAACCATTTTTTTTTTTGTTTGTTTGTTTAGTAAAGTCTATCTTATGGCTAAAACACTTGGGACTCTGGGAACCTAATTTAGTTTCCCCATTCTGTGTCTTTATTTGAGGTCTTATTTGTGTTATGTTTCTGCACCAAAATAATAGCACAACAGCAGTGATAAAACTTTATTTCACTTCCCATTTGCTCATCTTTTGTGTCTGAATTGCAAATTTTTCTGTGTTGTTTCTTATGTGTTTGTCCATGGCCAGAACTATTTGGTGCTCTATGTAATTTGGAGTCCCCGGATGATATTCTGTGCAAAAAAATACACAATATTTTGTGGGGAGGACATGAGAGGGCAGAAATGCAATGAGAGGGACTATTCTATTATCTTAGAATTAAGTCTAGAGAAAATGAAGTGCAGGGGATATTTCAGTCCTACTGTTCGTTTTTGGATGACCACTTTAGTTTTATCTTTAGCCTCCCAGCCCGTTTGTGGAAGCCATGACACATCCACATCTCTAACAACTGAAGGGGTTTCAGCTCTTGGTGCACTGATGCATAAGAGGTACCTGTTAGACAGAGGCGTCCTCTCCACACATCTGATCTGGATGGTGCTGAGCTCTTGTACACTGCCTTGACGGCTGCCAGCAATGGTGGTGTTTGGGATGCGGTAAGTCTTTTTATGTCTTCGTGAGCAGCAAGTACTGGTGACACCTTGTTGAGATGACAGAGAGGGGCTGTGGCTTGGGGGTCTATTGACTGTAGAAACCTCCATGCAGCTCTCTTCATAGACTTGTTCATCCACAAACTCATGATTCTAGCCCAGAGGAAGCCAGCAAAGGGACAAAGCATGCACACAAAGTTAATTAAAGTGAATGTATTAATCATGCTTCTTTAAAGGCTTAAATTGACACAACTGAATAAATTGGTAAAGTTAGACAGCTTAGTCTTGATTATAGTGTTTAGCCCCTATTAGTCTGGGCTGAATACCAATACAAATGTGAACGCTGGAACAAAACTCTCAGGGCTCTTAACTACAAAACAAATAATTCAAATTCTTTTGTAAAATAGCTTATGATCATGCTGTAGCTTGCACTATGGATATCTGTATAATCTATGGAGTGCCACAAAATCAGGGATTATGTTTATTAATAAAAATAAAAGTGGTGCTTATGTAAATGCCCTAAATGTCATTTGGAAATAAGTAAGATTTACTGTATGAAACCATAATAAAATAAAATTAATATTTTCCAGCTGTGATTTCCACACTTTCTTTGTGAGCTGAAGGGTGAAAAATAGTGGTGCTGATTATAGTAGATGGCAACAACAAAACAAAGAGGAATTTTTACAATAATTTAGAAGTGGCAGCCCAAACTAAATAGAGATTAAAACATGCTCACATGCAGTTTGAAAGATTTTTCTAAAATCTTTCCAGTTACCACTGGAATCAGTCTACATATCCTGTGGATGGTTTAGGGGACATGTTTTAAGTAGTTTTACACTCTTCTCAGTCTCATTCACTTCAAGATTGTTAGCCTGCTGCATTTTTATGCGTTGGAATGAAACAAACAAACAAATCCTGAAGAACAATACTCTAATTGGAAAGGTGTTTTCCAGGAGAATTTTAGCATAGTGCAAATATAAAATATGTGAGCAAAATAAATAGAATAATAATTGTAGCCATATGTTTGCTAGAAATTGAAATACCTTCATAAGCATTATTATTATTTCTATTTCTTCTCTTCTCCTTCACTCAAACATAAATTTGTGTGGAATTGACTGGTGCTGAAGCATACCAATTTCAAGTGATATGGAAAGAATTTGCCTGACAATCAACTTCTATTAGGCATGTGTCAACTACAAAAAATATTTTGAATGCTATCACACAGTGGACAGAAAATTCAGAGAGAAAAGTGACCTAATCATTATCCTTAGATTATGTTCAGTGGGCTATATTCTGTTTGCCAAGATCTCTGCTAGTTTTCTGATTGAAAGTAATTTTGTTCTTCCTAAAACTTTTATGTAGTAACCGACAAGAATTCAATTAGTAGGGTCCATTAAGGAGAGCCATTGAGTGAACTTCTAATATAGACTGGAATAATTTTGAAACGATATAATGGCCCAAGTTAATCTATTTTATTATACTTATTAATTAACTGTTTTTACATCAGCTAAAAGTAGCCTGTAAAATATAACTTCCAATACAATTATTTTAATTATTAATGTAAGTTTTAGAATTCAATAACATTGCTCACACTGAATTTCTTAGAGTAGAAAAGATTTCATCTTATTAGCTTTAAAATGTTGGAAAAGAATATTTCTTTGCTTAATTTCTTTTGATTGAGGTTTACACCAAATTATATTTCATTTAAAAGATGAGGGGAGGCTAAGAAGGCATCTTAGGCACTCTTGCCGTTTTACCATGAGCCAGCCACTTGCTATATTCCACAGACCAGAGGCCCAAAATTTCAGCTTCCCACTTAAAATTTTGGAGTGTATGATCTGACCAGACAGTTGCAGAATACAACTTGGAGCCCATGAGTACATTTTTGTGTCCATGTGTCATATGAGCATCAGTGCCAGAAACAGGGCCCAACAAACAAGGCAAAGTAAAGTAGATTGTAGTCAACTTTAGGAAACAAGATAATACTTACATTATATATTCTTAAAAATAAAGACTTCTGTTTAAAATAAAAATAAAGGCTTACATATTCCACCACTATAATTAGAGGAAATTTGAAAATTGTGGTGTTGAATCCAGCTCCCACCAAATGAATATATTTTTTTCCATGATTTCTGTGATAGTTTGACATGACCTGTGGCTACTACTAGGTTTTTAAAACATGTTTGTAATGTTCAACTATGGAACATTTTTAAGGCAGATTACTGTTATCAGGTCCTAGTACAAAATGTCTCAGAAATGTTCCAAAAGGACCCAGTCTGAACCCTGGAAAAGTAGCTACTTTATATCCTGTGAGACATTCTGTCCTACAACCCATTGCATAAAAATAAATATTCTGAAAGTAAGAATGGAAAAAACATAAGCAACCATGAGATGACATTACTAGCTAGTGATGTAACAACTGTGACAATTTATTTACAAGGAAATGCTGTCAAAAGAGAACATTGATATATATATATATACATCATATTTTAATTTAGCAATGTCTGTAGGTAGAAAACTTTTAAATCTTTTAGAAAGAGTAGTACTAAGACTTTCACATGGATCTCCATCAAATATAGTGGAAGCATTACTGTGTCTTTTAATGAAAAACTAGATCACAAAGTTAAGATGAAATAGCATGAAGTTTCCCTATGTAATCCAGAACTTCAAAAGAAACTGCAAAATAGATTTCACAGAATCACAGCAGGTCATCTGGACCACTGCCCCTAGTGCGGTGCTCAATCAGGGCAGCCTCGAGCCTGTTGTTCAAGACCATGTCCATGTGGCTTTTAAGAATCTCCAGGGAGGGAGACTCCACAACCTCTCAGGGCAACCTGTGCTAGTGCCCAGTCACCAGCACTGTATTTAAAATAAATAAATAAAATATTTTCTGATGTTTAGACAGAGCCTCTTGTGTTTCAGTTTGTGCTCATTGCCTCATTTTATGCCATTTTTTTCTACCTTGTGCTTTTTAACAGTTATCGGAAAACGTCTTAAAACGTTAGATTTCAAGGAGGGTTAGGGAGAGGGAGTGGTATTGATGGAATGGGAATGAATGGGAAGCAATGGGAAGAGAAGTCATGCCATAACTGCAACCTTTGATTTGGCTTTGAGAATAAGATACTTCATTTGTGCAAAAAATAAATAAAAAACACAAGGAGACTGCAGAACATGTCATGGAATCCGTATCTGAGCTAGCTGTCCAGACACCAGTATTGTACATCTTCATTTTTGGTGAACTGTATCCTATTAGCAAACTTTTTTTTTTTTTTCTTCTATTAGTGACTTATTCATGAAAATGGATTTAAAAAAATCATAAAAATACTTAACCTAGATATTCAGGAGTCACTAACTTGATCAAGTGTTTATAGTGTTTGTCAAGAAATGCCATAGTACAAGGCATATGGATGGCCTCTATCATATATTTTTTCCATGCAACCAGAACTTATAAAACTAGATGTAAATGCATAAATGGTGGTCTAATGGATGTTGACCGATGTACCTACAATATAAAGTAATTTTTTACATAGCAATATAACACCTGCAACAATATAAAAATACAAAGAGATAATTTTAGCATGCCTTAATGTGAAATTCCCATATCTACAAAGATTAAACTAAACATAATTAATATTTATGTTCTGAGTTTCCTTAGAAAGTGATAAAAGAGGAAGCAATATGAAGTTAGGGATGATTAGGTTTATTGCTGTGACCTTAACTGTCCAAATACATACTATTAGTAAACATGGCATTTAGATATTACTGAATCATAACTCTGCTGTAGTTTATTATCCTTTATGACTGTATAATTATCCAGATATTGATCAGGGAAAAATATAGAGAGCACATGATAAGTAGTTCTTCTGATTAATAGGGAATTTCAAATCTAGATGAGTGTATTTGGGCTGTTATGAATTGAGTCACTGATTTCTACAGGGACCTCAGTGTCTAAAATGAAGCCAACGACTCTGAAGCTTTGCACCTACATCTGGATTAAACATTCGAATCTTCAAAATGAGATGCTTGGGGATCCTCCCGTGCAGTCGCTTCGGCAAGAACTGTACTCATGGTAGAGGAAACACTCAGCAGCTCTCTACACCAAAGGTTTGACTCCACAGTTTTAAATATGTAAGGACTATAAATGATGTCTCCTGAACTGACTGCAGAAAAGTGCAGATGTTAGCATTATGGAGTGTATGAAAACCACTCTGAAGGCCACGTTTGCCCCTAGACTAGACTCATGTCATGGTATCTTTCACTTTACATGAGGCTGTCATCCAGGCTCTCTCTCTCTCACTTACATTCAGAGGGTATAATGTTTTAAAATATGATAAAACGGCTTCTCTTCACAGCTAATCACTTTCACATAAAGGCTTATTAATTAGAAGAAATACTGAAAACATTCAGAACTACACTGATGTTGGAATTTACAGGAAAACACACTTTTTTTTTCTTACCGTAGTTTTTTCCAGGCAGTGAAGCAGGTGGTGGTGCTGTGTTTCAAAGGAAGAGCCAGATTTGCTAACAAAGGCCTGTTCTTCTTCACTGGAGGACTGTTAATACAAAAAAATCTGTATTATTCTCATTTATGAACAAGAGGGCTCCTATCCAAATATTTGATCAGAACTAATCTGGATTATATACTGCAGCATAACGTCTCATCTACATGGGATAACACAAATGATCTTGGATGCAATTACTCTTTTGCTTTTGATTTAAATATATATATATATATATAATATATATATATTATATATATATTCATATCCCTTCTTTGCATTTTCTTTTAAATATTTCCATCTTAAGTCTTTGATGTGTATACAGGTGGACTAGTACAATTTCCAACTACAATCAACACATGATCTTTGAATGTTGAATTAATATTAAAATTGTCATAAATTCCAGTGACAGTAATAATTTCTTCTTCTTATTATTTTTTTCCTGGGAATGTGCCTTATTGGAAGGAAATTGAACATAGTAGTCCTCCTGGGATCATTTCACATCACTAAGGAATTTGTGGTATTACAGCTTACACAAAAATTCATGTCAGTGATCCCAATCTGCTGACTTCAGAAAGCATACAGCAGATGTTACTGACACAGAATGAAGAATTAAGTAGAAAGCATCCACTGTTTATTAATTGCTTTTGTAATTATTCACTAGAAAGCAGAAAACTAAATAGGGGAGGAAGTGGGATAATAGGAGAGATTACAATTCAACTTTGGGATGTTTGAAAGCTGCATGGCAATTAAGCCATTTGGTGTCTCTTTCTTTCAAAGATTTGAATTCTTCCATGCAGAAGAGGAAACAAATATTCTGCCTGCTCCTCTTTTATGCTAAATCACACAGCCACTTCCTCCTCTTCTGGCTACTTGCTAGAATAGTAGGCTTTTTAACAGTTTTTAAAGAGAAAGGGCATAGAGGAATGAAAGCCTTCCTGTATCCCCCAGGGAACTGCCAAAACACTAGAAAATGGCAGGGACTAAGAAACACTGTGTCTTCAGTCTTTCTCAGCTGGTTACAGCTCCGAGCAGCCCAGAGACCACCTCCAGCTGCTTGCAGCCACGCAGCCGCTGCACGTCCTGGTCCCAGCTGTTGCCTGGGCTCCAGGCTGTAAGTCCCTGCTGCATTAGGATGTAATCACTGAGATTTTCCCCAGGAAAAAAAAAAATAAAAATTAGGTGCTTCCAGGGAATGTTTTTCACTCTGCAACACCCCTTTGTGCCAACAGTACGCTACAGCTACTTTTTATGAGAGAACATCACCCATGTTCTAGCTGTCTAAAGCCAAATGAGATAAATCCAACATACTTCCTAAAAGGCAAATGCCCTGTGCTTTCTTAATGTGGTCTTCTGCAGGATTTAGCTCTAGAACTGTGGCTTACATTGAATCCAGCATTTCTATCTAGCCATTTTAATATTATCATTATTATTATTATTATATTACCCTATCATCAGCTCTCATAAGCTACCTTTAACATAATAATTGTCCAGCTTATCCTTCCTTAATCTACCTCTAAAAATAACATTGCCTAAAGACCCAAGTTGACTTGCCCTGGTGATAAATAGAATAAACTGCTGCTGGGCTATTATTAAGCTGTTACTCTGGAGGTGGAGAATACAAAAACATTACCTGCTGCAGCTGGTTACTCAGTAAGCCATTTCGTTTGCTCTGCATGTAGGCATTAGCACTCCCACTCTTTGCAGCACGAATTCGAGCAAGTCTTGCTTTCTGTGTAAATAGACAAAAAGGAAGAGTGTCAGTTGTACTTGTATCCATTATTCTGTTTATCTAAAACTGCTAATTGGAACCAGCTGCTTATGAATACCAATGTCATAATCACTGAAAGGCTGCATTGCATTCGTACTCCAGGTGGTGCAAATCAAAAATGTCTTCCCATAAAGCCAAAAATTTTTATTTGTTTGCATGCATCAGCTAACAAGAACAAAGATTTTGGAGAGAAGATTAGACATAACAGCATGTAAGAGACTCCTGCTTTTTTCCTGGCTGTGACTTTGCCACTTCTTATGCCTTGTGGGTCAGAAGTATGACTTCCATCTCAGCTGCTTCCTGCAGTGAATATCTCTTTATAGGGGAAGAAATAATTCAGAAAAAAATATTATTACAACTACCATGAGCTAGTTTCTCAGAGACTTCTGATTTTTGGAAGTAACGGAATGCGGTGATTGCTTTTACACTGTCTCCCATCTAAGTTTCTGAATGTCTTCCAGGCCTTTTAAAACCTTTTTATCTCTTCATGTAGCTCATTCTATAATTAGCCTTAAAAGTCATCATTGTTGATCATAATCTACATGATCATAATCGTCATGATCATAATTTGACTTTTTGGAGTGTCCAATTGCTGAGAGAGAGGAGATGTGGTCAGGTGAACCTCCTTGCTTATGTAGGTGACATTCATCCCAGAGAAGGTGGTGGTGAGTGAAGGATGCTTTGAATCCACTGACTTGCAGAACAGTCAGCAGCCAACGTTAGAGGAAAGTATGAAGAAAAGAGTCCCTTAACCCATATTATGGAAAATGGAAGCACTTATTATTGGAATGGTCTCTTGGTTCTTTAATTTTTGTGGCTGGTTCCTTATATGTATCAAAGCTTTCTGATTCTGAAAGCCAAATGCAGAGCAGCACCTCGAGTTGAATGGCTGCTGAAGCACAGAGGGAGACAAGTGAACAACTTGAAAAACTGAGTTTAATACATTAATCAGGATTTCCATTCCTGACAATTGCTCAGTTATTTTGAGAAGATAGAGTGTATCTCTCTCCTCCCAGTTTCTTTGGCATTAAATGTCAACATGAAATGATTGAGAATCCCTGAGTGCTTAACGTAGAGGGAAGCAGCCTGGTCACTGCAGGCACCAGATCTTCTCTCTGGCATGATTAATAATTGACTAACTATGAGGAATGACTCAACACCATGCTTCTTTGCACTTGCATTCTCAAACTCACAGATCTTCTCAAGAGTGAGCCAAGAAAACCATGACAGCTAACAGCAAACATTCTAGAATCTGGCTGATATATTTTGCATTTGTTATCTTTTAATTGTTCAGAAAGAAAATAAGATAATGCTGTGCATGTGTGCATCACTGAGACAAAAAGACCACAATGCCTCATTTTGTGATCTGTCAGCTGTTTTAGAATAACACATTGCTTTGTCATCTTCCTCTGTGTACACAGCCCTCCCAGTTGTGCAGTAAATGGACCTCAACGTAAAGAACAAAGTTAAGGAACAAAGTGCCCTGATCCCACAGTACTTCTGCACAGGCCAATGGTGTGGTTAAGGCCAAGTCTTCAGGGCTGGTAATTAAAAATGCTCTTGGATAGGCAGACGATTCATTTTTTTTTCAAGGTGGAACACTTGAGAAGCAACACCAGCATGATTGGCTGAAGCCTGAGAAGAGCTTTGCCTGTACTGCAGAATACAGACTTGTCAAAACATGTTTATGGGTTACATTCGTGAGTAGGTGAAAGGTCTCTCTTACCACTACTCTTTATCACTAGGAACTCAAGGTACTTTAGAGATGCTGTTGCAGGATGCAGCTTGAAGTTTCATAAATAAGCGATTTTGGTCACAAAAATTTTTCAGGATTTACAAGGAAATTCATTAAATTTAATGAACAAACATACTGACATTAATCATGCTTTTTCTTTTAGCTTGTATATTCATTTCCCCTTACAGTGACTGAGGTAATAATTATGGTGCAGCACCGTTTAATAAAGAAATGTAAAAAATATAACAGTTCATCAGACTATTTTAATGTATTGATGTGCTGCACCACATATAATATGAAGGTTGTATTTTCCATGTGACAATTTTAAATTGCTTTGTAAATATGAATTTATAGTATCTTAGAAAGCATTTGTGAGATGGAAACTCATAGCTTACATCTTCCTAGCTGAGACTCATAAAGATGGCCAGAATTTACACCATTTACTGAAGTGAAGACAATAAAACTATTGCCAAGAAATGAACCAGATATTGTGGCTTGCCTGCTTATATTTCAGCTTATAGAAAATACTCTTGAAACTGGGAGTGCTTACAAACCAGTCACAAAAATGATAAAATTTCTTTTCAGTGCTTCTGTCTGTTTAATCAGAGCCTGAAGCATTAGCAGTCCAGTGACTTCCCACATTTCTTACCAAGGAATTGTTCAAAGCTCATATCAGCCACAGGATTTTAAGGGCTGTGTATTAGGGATTGAATTCCCGTGAAGGACATCAGGATGATGTGATGACATCAAAAAAAAAAAATGTGGTTATGGAAGAACTGTATTTTCTTTTAGTCTGAACTGCACTTTCTGTCATTTATAACAGAAAAAGAGTGCTAACTGTCCCTTTCAACCACTGCAGTATCCTTCCTAACTCTTCTTTCGTGGAATATCTGGCAAACAAAGAGATTAAATTCTCCTGCAATAGGTTAACTGCTTTGCTATGAGATTTTTCCATGTTAGCCATTCAGTGTGAAACCTTGACTATGGTAATTTTTACATTGTATGGGACAAAAACAGCAACCTAAAACACTGTTATTTTACTTATTGGGATGAAATTCCAGCTATTAGGATGAAATTCCATCATAGTCATTCTATCTGATGCTTTCTAAAGAAACCGATGATCAGTTTCAATCCTTATAGCATCCCTTGTATTGTACTGACCACTGTTGAATGTTTCACTTTCTTTTCTACCTTCAAATTTTGTAATTTAAAGATGGATCCTTGTCTATGCCTGCATTTATAGAAACCTTATGAAAATAAACTGCTTTTCTTCAACAACTACCTGTTCTGTCAGTTTTAGAAGATAAACACTTATTTTCTCAAGGTTTTAAATAATGCTAAGTGTAGCACTATGGGATATTTACAACATCCAGTATTCAGCACTCAAGATAACCTCAGCTGTCTAATTGTAGTTAGAGAGATTTTATCAGAAATACTTTAGGGCAAAGATTATTGTGGTACTGGGAATAATTTTTAACAAGAATCTCATTTGTTATTCAAGGAGCCAGGTAACCTACCCTTCTAATTTAGTACCTCCTGTAGTCTGCTACTCTCCAGACAGCTTAACTGTTTGTTTATCAAAACTGAAAAAGTACTGATTACTCACTTTATTGTCTTTATATTTGTTATTTTTATCATGATCTCGTACAATTACAACATTAAAATTAAAATTCCTTCACAGTCATTATGACTCCTATAACAGTGTAGCAGTGGCCAAAATGATCTGA